AATGGGAAATACAATTTCGACATACATAGAGGGCATCGGTAGGGAGAACACCCTCGATTGCGTAACAATTTATGGTTTTGCGGGGTATTAGATGCAAGTTAATTTCAGGTATGTCACAGTATTTTTAATTAGAAAGTTGTACGAGGTGTCCTCGACCACAGTGGAGCCCAAAATTCCTGTTGTTAAGGGAGACATTTGTTAAGTGAATTTGGCGCCATTTTACGACCTTTCTGGCCTCAGTTGTTAAGTGAAGCGCTGCTGCCGTTACCACGGTTGTTAGATGAATCTGGCTTCCACATTGGCCTTGTTTGTCAGACGGTCGCCAAAGTGGATCACGTTTGTTCGGGACACTGCAACCGTCATAAATATGAGTCAATTACCAAGTGACTGAATTTTGATCACTGCATCCATCGTAAATATGAGTCAATTACCAAGTGACTGAATTTTGATCACTGCAACCGTCGTAAATATGAGTCAATTACCAAGTGACTGAAGTTTGATCACTGCAACCGTCGTAAATATGAGTCAATTACCAAGCGGCTGAATTTTGATCACTGCAGCGGTCATAAATATGAGTCAATTACCAAGTGACTGAATTTTGATCACTGGAGCGGTCATAAATATGAGTCAGTTACCAAGCGGCTGAATTTTGATCACTGGAGCGGTCATAAATATGAGTCAATTACCAAGTGACTGAATTTTGGTCACTGCAGCGGTCATAAATATGAGTCAATTACCAAGTGACTGAATATTGATCACTGCAACTGTCGTAAATATGAATCAGTTACCAAGCGGCTGAATTTTGATCTCTGCAGCCGTCATAAATATGAGTCAATCACCAAGTGACTGAATTTTGATCACTGCAGCGGTCATAAATATGAGTCAATCACCAAGTGACTGAATTTTGATCACTGCAACCGTCATAAAATACGAGTCAGTTACCAAGTGACTGAATTTTGATCACTGCAACCGTCGTAAATATGAGTCAATTACCAAGTGGCTGAATTTTGATGCTGCAGCGGTTATAAGTCTGGAAAACGGCCATAAGTCCCTTTTTTCAGTGCCCTTGTAACTTTGAACCGTCACTAAATGAACTGTTGTAAGTCGAGGACTGCCTGTAATCAGAACAGATGCTACCAGGCCGCTGATTTTTTTTATTTTATTTTTTATTTTGCTATCACCTGATCCTCCTGCGAAGGTTTATCCCTGGCGCAATATGAGGTCCTTACCTTACATTTTGAAGTTTTTTAATGCTAACATTTATTTAGCACCGCACGTGCATCGTGCAATGCTAAATAAATATTCCCGCAAAGTTGCCCGGCGTTCTTTGTCTTCTTTTTTTTTTTTTTTTGGTTTGAATATTTTGCAGCTGTGTCATCCACCACCTACAAAATAAATTTCTTTTTCCTCTCCTCGGCTCTCAGAGCAGTCAAGCTGTTACACTCACCCACTTCCTCCGAGGCCGCCTGCAGCCTTTTCTCGTTTTCAGATCAGTTCAAGAGGAGAAACTTTGAGACGTCAACCGATCGTGGAGGGCAGGGTAAGAGAACCGAGAAGCTGTGTGTAGGGACAATTACATTCGGCACGGTGAGCCGGCGAGCCGAGGGTTTGATGGCTGATCTGATCGGGTTTTGTAGTTTTCTAAGGAGAGAGCTGGGTGCGGAAATGTGTTCTCGAGGTCCCCTCCCCTTTTTTTTTCTTTTTGGTCTGACTTTGGGATTCTTAAACTAGGTCTTGGAGAGATCGTCAGTTTTGATGCGAGGGCCCCGTCGCACGAGCTGAAAGTTCAGCTCGCCCCCAGATGTGGGATGAACAGAAGCCACCGAGAACAGACTGTACTGATTATTAAAGAGACTGTACGTTTTGCATCGTTCCTTCGTCCACGTAGTAATATGCTATCTTGTGTCTGAGGGAAATGATACTTTTCTAATGCCGTAGACAGGCCCAGGGGAACTTCAGGACTTCTTCCAGAAACTCTCCATTCAGTAACCTTCTGACGATCGTCCTGTACGGGCACAGAATGTACACGTGGGAACGTGCAAATAACCATCCAGAGAATAACCCCGAGCGATATGTAGCTTCTCTTTCTCTCCCCAATCCATATTTTTTCAAGCAGAGCAGAAAATCATTAGCTCTCTTGAAAGAAGCTTATGGGGCATCCCAAGAAAATATGGGCTTGACTAGATCATCGTTCTAGCCATCGTCTTGTCTACTGCAGGATCAAGGTCTCTTCTGCAGGTTTCCAATCAATACGGTCCTGAGCTTCCATTTGCCGATTGGGCCCGCCATACTTGCTGATGTTGTCAATCCGTCTTGTTTTCAGATCTCTTTTGTGGGCCCTTTTGATCAAGTTTTTTAATGTTGAGAGTCTAGAAAGAGTACAGAGAAGAGCAACAAAGATGATTAGGGGACTGGAGGCTAAAACATATAAGGAATGGTTGCTAGAATTGGGTATGTCTAGTTTAACGAAGAGAAGGACGAGGGGGGACATGATAGCAGTATTCCAATATCTCAGAGGCTGCCATAAAGAAGAGGGAATTAAGCTATTTTCCAAAGCACCTGAAGGCAGGACAAGAAGCAACAGGTGGAAACTAATCAAGGAGAGAAGCAACCTAGAACTAAGGAGAAACTTCCTTACAGTGAGAACAATTAATCGGTGGAACAGCCTGCCTCCAGAAGCAGTAAATGCTCCAACACTGGAAGTTTTTAAGAAGAGACTGGACAGCCATTTGTCCGAAATGGTGTAGGGTTTCCTGCCTGAGCAGGGGGTTGGACTAGATGACCTCCAAGGTCCCTTCCAACTTTACTACTATTACTAAGTGGGATCCAGTGTTTTTCTTCCTATGTGACCAGCTCGTTTCCATTTCAACTGATGATATTGTTCTCTTGATGATATTGTTATAGTTTCGTTTGTTCTCTAGCTCAGTGGCCCCCAACCTACTGGGCATCAGGGAACCGGTTCCGTGGAGAGAGTTTTTTCCACGGGCCGGAGGGGGTGTGGTTTTGAGTGGTGTCTGCATCCCGCTGATGGGATTTTGCTTGTTTGTGTGGACCGGTTGCTGGCATGCCGTGGACCGGTAGAGGTCCATGGCCCGTGTGTTGGGGACCCCTGTTCTAGTCCATGTGCAGATCTTTCTATCTTGTCTTGTGATGAATAAATAACATTCAACAAATAAGGTACCGCAAGCGTGATGCTCGCTCCAAATTGTTTCTTTTCCAAATCAATATTGTAGTGGCACACTGGCCGTAATCATCACTTGCATAGCACAAGGAAAATTTTAAGTAGCTCAGTGGAAGGATACTTAAGTTCTAGCATGAGCTCAAAGCATTGTTAAGAGACCCCACACACCCACTTCACGGTTTGTTCCTGTTGCTCTCCTCTGGGAGGCGGTTTCAGAGTGTTTATAGGAGGATTACCCGATTCTGCAACAGCTTTACTCCTTAGGCCATCCATCCTGTAAATTTGCAGGATTTTTTCTCGCCAAGTATATGCATACATCCCAACTAGACTGGGTTGTTTGTGTCATATATGTGTGAGTATGTGGATATATGCATAATCTTTTGTCATGTTTATGTACCGTAGTGTATAATGGAGGTGGTTACCCTTTGCGAGCTGAATGCAGCGAAATTTCATTTTAATGTATGCTGATTAGTGTACATTTAAAGTGACAAAGTTCCATTCCATTCCATTCCATTCCATTCCATTCCATTCTATTCTATTCTATTCTATTCTATTCTATTCATTCTTAATTCTATTCTATTCTATTCTATTCTATTCTAAATTCTATTGTCTATTCTATTCTATTCTATTCCATTACTCTAGTCTACTGTAATCTACTGTACTTCTACTCTACTCTACTCTACTCTACTCTACTCTACTCTACTCTACTCCACTCCACTCCACTCCACTCCACTCCACTCCACTCCACTCCACTCCACTCCACTCCTCTCCTCTCCTCTCCTCTCCTCTCCTCTCCTCTCCTCTCCTCTCCTCTCCTCTTCAGTTTGATGGGACAGAAAGTGATGTGACTTGATAATTGATACCTTCCCACATTTATGATCCTTTTGTCCAACGTTTGCCACTTTTTACTAGCACTGATGATGTTACCTAGTTGGGTAATGAAATGTTTGCAAGAAAACCCCCCAGCTCAGAGAACACCAAGGCTCCCTCAGTTTAGCACTTTACTTCCCACAGCATTTGTCCCATTGAACACTGATTGTGTATCTTCTACCTAAGAGTTGGAGCTGGACTGCCATGGGGAGAAAGGATATAGGGGGATCTGCACTTGTCTAGATCTGGGTCCAACAAGCCAGGTTTCATTTACAATGCAGATCTTGTGTTTATTAGCAACGCAGCTGTTTATTGCAAAGGAAACTGGTTACTCGCTTCTTTTGGAATCCCAATTAGAAATCTGAAGTTCTCCATTCCTATACAGGAAGTAGAAGCAGTTGACTGTGACAAATAATTGGGAAGAAGAAACTTCAAATCCCCCAGAAAGAGTAAAGGGAGATTGTTTCTGAATTAAGAGTGCAACAGAATAGGGGACTGGAGGCTAAAACATATAAGGAACGGTTGCTGGAATTGGGTCTGTCTAGTTTAATGAAGAGAAGGACAAGGGGGGACATGATAGCAGTCTTCCAATATCTCAGGGGTTGCCCCAAAGAAGAGGGAGTCAAGCTCTTCTCCAAAGGACCTGAAGGCAGGATAAGAAGCAACGGATGGAAATTAACCAAAGAGAGAAGCAACCTGGAACTAAGGAGAAATTTTCTGACAGTTAGAACAATTAATCAGTGGAACAACCTGCCTCCAGAAGTTGTGGGTGCCACAAGTCATAAAAGGGCCGAGTTTGAAGACCCCTGGGTGAAAAATCATCCCCATGGCTATTAAATAAGTCATTGACAACATTTGACAGATTAATCGGCCATCTGGATTTAAATTAAAACATCACGCTTAGTTGAAATTCTAAAGTTAAACTTGTGTTGTCTTTTTTTCTCCGCAGCCTAAATTCTGTATCAATGCCACAGAATAAATGGCATCCAAAGTGACAGATGCTATTGTCTGGTACCAGAAAAAGGTAAGATATTTTTTTTTTCTCTAGTGTGAAATATTGGTTCTAAAACAAATTATAGCCTGGCCTAAGACTGATTACAAGTAGTCCTTGACTTATAACAGTTCATTCAGTGACCGTTCCAAGTTACAGCGGCACTGAAAAAAAGCGACTTTTAACCGCTCTTCACAGTGACAACCGTCGCGGCGTCCCCGTGATCACATGATCAAAATTCAGACGCCTGGGAACTGACTCACATTTATGACGGTCGCAGCGTCCCTGGGATCATGTGACAAGCAAAATCAACGGGGGAAGCCGAGTCGACTTAACAACCATGTGACTAACTTAACAACCGTGGAAAGGAAGGTCGTAAAACGGGGCGAAATTCACTTAGCAAACGTCTCGCTTAAGCAACCGAAATTGTGGGCTCAATCTTTGTAAGTCGAGGACTGCCTGTACTTAGTACGACTCCTGTGCATTTGTGCTGTGCTGCTCTCTGCTTTTTTTCAAGGTTAGCACCAAAGCTTTGAACGAAATGTATAGCGTTAACTCCGTTGTATTCTAAGAAATAGTCTTCATGCAACTAGGAGAGTTGTTTAGCAGGCATCTTAGCATCTTCTATGTTGAGTATATTTTTCTTTACCTGAATGTTTGAATAGGCTTGTTTTTAAAGATCAGACATAGCCTAACTCAGGGGTAGGCAACCTTGGCCCTTTTATGACTTGTGGACTTCAACTCCCAGAATTCCTCAGCCAGCCACGCTGAGGGGAAAGGGAGAGGTTTCCCAGCTGGGCCATGCTGGCTCAGGAATTCTGGGAGTTGAAGTCCATGAGTCAGAAAGCGGCCTAGGCCAGGGATAGGCAACCTTGGCTCTTTTATGATTCATGGACTTCAACTCCCAGAATTCCTGAGCCAGCACGGCTCAGCTTGGAAACCTCTTCCTTTCCCCTCAGCATGGCTGGCTCAGGAATTCTGGGTATTGAAGTCCACAAGTCATAAAAGGACCAAGGTTCCTGACCCCTGCCCTATATCAGGGGTCCTCAACCTTGGCAACTTTAACACTTGTGGACTTCAATTCCCAGAATTCCTGAGCCAGCATGGCTCAACTTGGAAACCTCTCCCTTTGCCCTCAGCATGGCTGATTCAGGAATTCTGGGTGTTGAAGTCCACGAGTCATAAAAGAGCCAAGGTTCCCCACCTCTGGCCTAGCTTTTAGTTCCTTGAAATCAGCTGCTAAGGATTTAATCCAGGCAGTCCTCAATTTACAACAGTGCATTTAGTGACCGTTCAATGTTACAACGGCACGGAAAAAAGTGACTTGTGACCGTTTTTCACATTTATGACCGTTGCAGCCTGCCAAGGGGCCACATGATCAAAATCCAGACGCTTGGCAACTGACTCATATTTACGACGGTCGCAGAGTCCCTGGGGGGGTGTCACGTGATCCCCTTTGGCGACTTTCTGACAAGCAAAGTCACGGGGGGGAGCCAGATTCACTTAACAATCAGGTTACTAACTTAACAACTGCAGTGATTCACTTAACAACCGAGGCAAGAAAAGTCGTAAAATGGGGCAAAACTCATTTAATAAACCTCTTAGTTCACCACAGAAATTTGGTTGTAGGTTTGTAAACCTGTAGTTTCTTGTTCTGTTGGTTGAACTATTCCTGGAACAAAGAGAAGTTACTAAACTAAGCCTCTGTGGGGAACGGATTCACCGTTTTATGGATTTCTGAGATGTTTTTTTTTTAAATAAAACAATTCAGTTTATCCTTTTGTCCCGCAAAGCTTTTATAAGGTCTGAAAATGTACGTGCAGTAGTAGACGTGTGTGGCAAGGCTTTCATCTTTATGTAGAAAATAACTCGCTGCTGAGCTCACCCACATGTTCTTAGCTTTTCAAATGTTACTGGAGAAATATGCAAGGGTGTAAATCGCCTCGGGCATGCTTATTAATATATGAATGCAGTCATTGTGTCCTCTCTGTGCGGTTGGCTTAATGGGGTTTATTCTTGCATTTGAATTTTGGGGCAAGCAAATGCAGACGTGCCTTTTTAAAGGGCAGATGTTTTGTCTGCTTTTGTTTAGGCTTAAGGTTGAACTTGATGTTTAGCTCCGTCAGCACTACTTAGGAACAAATACAAATTATTTACTAGATTCCTTGGTGATGATGTTACTTAGTTGGGTAATGAAATGTCTGCAAGAAAGCCACCCAGCTCAGAGATCACCAAGGACCCCACAATCGTCGTCGTCGTCGTCCTCCTCCTCCTCCTCCTCTCCACAAACCCTACTCCCTTCTAACACTGATGATGTTACCTAGTTGGGTAATGAAACGTCTGCAAGAAAACCACCCAGATCAGAGAGCACCAAGGACCCCACAGTCCTCCTCCTCTACCATCTCCTCCTCCTCCTCCTCCTCCTCCTCCTCCTCTTTGCAAACCTCCCTCCTTTCTAACACTGATGATGTTACCTAGTTGGGTAATGAAACGTCTGCAAGAAAACCACCCAGATCAGAGAGCACCAAGGACCCCACAGTCGTCGTCCTCCTCCTCCCCCTCCCCTCCTCCTCTTTGCAAACCTCCCTCCCTTGTAGCACTGATGATGTTACCTAGTTTGGGTAATGAAAGGTCTGCAAGAAAGCCACCAAGCTCAGAGAGCACCAAGGACCCCCACAGTTCAACCCTGAGCTATAAATATTCTCCTTTATTGATTATTAGATTCCATTGACTATAGCTTAGAGGGTGAACGTCACAAGAAATCTCCTAAAATTTGGTTGGCCAGTTCTAATCCAGCCTGGTGTAACTACATCAGGTGGTAGTAGAGGATTCATTATTCCTAGAAGTTTTTTTTATTTTATTTAGATTATAGGAAAAAGGAAGAGAAGAAGAAGCATCTTGCAGAAATTCTCCGTTCAGGAGCCAAATTCTACGTCTTCTTTTTAGAACCAACTAATGACTTTATGAGGCTCCAATAATCTTCCTTAGCTAAATGTCTTTTTAGTGAATAAAACATTTTTATGTCCTAAGGAACTTCCAAATGGCAACAAATATGGCTGATTATTGTTCAGGGCATCATACAGTGCCTTAAATTTTAATATAATTGCCTCCTTATTTACCAAGGATGATTAGACTCTTAAAAACATCAATTAGCTTTGATCACTGTGACACAGACCTACACTAGTTTTTGCATAAAAATAAAGCTGAGTTCCAGGTTAACGCAACCCACTCTAAATTTAGATGTATTTTTTTTAAAAAAGTAAGTCTGTATAATTGCTTCTTGCGTGTTTACCCAATAAGACAAAGTTTTTCTCCAAAAACGATAACCCTTGAATTGAAGCAGTAATCTTATCTTCACAGGGAAGACTAGAATACATGTAGTCCTCGAATTATGATCACAGCTGAGCCTAAAATTTCGGTTGTTAAACAAGACGGTTAAGTGAGATTTGCCCTCATTTTATGCCATGGCTGTTAAGTAAGTTACTGCAGTTGTTAAGTGAATCAGGCAGTCATTAAAGTCCCCCTTTGACTTTGCTTGCTGGAAGCTCTTTGGGAAAGTTACTGTCATAGTTCCGACAGATGAAACTCTTCAAAAGAACTTTGAGGCATTATTTACCTTAAAGAATCTTTATTTTGAGTAGCATAATATTGGCACTGCATAATCGAAGCCAAAAACTGAATTCCCCTCCCTTGAGCACATAATATTAAAGCACAATTCTCTCCTCCAATTAACAGTCATAAAATGTCAATCAGGTTGATTACATCAATATTTAGGTTGTCTCATAAATGCAGTCCATTTTACTCAGTAATGGTTTCAGCCAAAATTTAATGCTGGACTCTACATGTAGCTTATATTGCAGTTGTGCATTGCAGAATTTATATATTGGCTGAAAGTTTTAGTCTTATTTTCTGGTGGCCAAAATATCAATCAGGTTGATTACATCAATATTTAGGTTGATTCATAAAAGCAGTACATTTTACTCAGTAATAGTTTCAGCTAAAATTTAATGCTGGACTCTTCATGTAGCTTATATTGCAGTTATGCATTGCAGAATTTATATCTGAAAGTTTGATTCTTGTTTTCTGGTGGCCAAAATGTCAATCAGGTTGATTACATCAATATTTAGGTTAGGATTTTCATCTAGGAGGAAGGTTCAAATCAAATCAAATCAAATCAACCTTTATTGTCAAAGTACAACATGTGTACAATGGGATTGGCTAAGCCAGGGGTAGGCAACCTTGGCTCTTTTATGACTCGTGGACTTCAACTCCCAGAATTCCTAAGCCAGCTATGCTGAGGGGAAAGGGAGAGGTTTCCAAGCTGAGCCATGCTGGCTCAGGAATTCTGGGAGTTGAAGTCCACGAGTCTTAAAGTTGCCAAGGTTGAGGACCCCTGATATAGGGCAGGGGTGGGGAACCTTGGCTCTTTTATGACTGGTGGACTTCAACTCCCAGAATTCCTGAGCCAGCATGGCTCAGCTTGGAAACCTCTCCCTTTCCCCTCAGCGTGGCTGGCTCAGGAATTCTGGGAGTTGAAGTCCACCAGTCATAAAAGAGCCAAGGTTGCCTACCCCTGGGCTAAGCCTCCCTTCATGCACCCCCCAACACAACTCACAGTAACAACAAACCCACAATCTTATTGCACCATGTGAACTTATTGCACAACAGTCTGGACATCAATTATACATTGCTGCTGAAATATTTATTGTTTCTATTAGAAACACCACGGTTGGTAAGTATTGGAGTACATGGTGATACTGTCACAGCTGATAGTTAAGCTGGCGACAAGGTGTCTGCCCCAAAGCTCAGGTTTAGCTTTGGAAAGGATACCCATTATTCTTTCCACCGGAAACTTAACGAGAGCAATTAATCAACAAGTTCTCTTCTTCCAGCTTTGCAAAAATTGAATCCCATTTTAAAACACACACACAGAGATCTAAAGGCAGACACCAACGCACTGTCAGCTACCTCCTTTTTTTTTTTTTTAGCAACCACGACGGATCCCAGAATTTCTGTTGCTAAGTGACACAGGT